CAGCTATGACGTTGGTCTGCATCCTGCACAGAGGAAAGGCCACGTTCTCCTGGAGCAAGATGTAGTTTTTCCTTTCTCCCAGAAGACAACTCTGTGTCAGTAGAGCTAAAGTATATCTTTAGTTAGACAAGATAATGTTACAAAAGTAATCCTGCTACACCTCCATCACCTCTGTCTCCTGAGTCTCTGAGCTTTGGCACTGTTGACTTTTGGGGTCATAATGTCCTCTGTCATTTGTGGGGGCTGTCCTGTGCATGATAGGATGTTTAGCAATGTTCCTGGCCTCTACTCAGAAACACCCCACCACCACCACTATTTGTGACAATCAAAAATATCCCCAGTCAGATATCCTCTGGAGAAAAGAATCACCTCCCATTGAGAACCTTTGTCTTCTCCAACTATACCCGCCCAACCCTATATACAGATTGGCATGTAGCTCTCCTCTTAATGGGCATGAAAGGATAAATAAAATATATCTGAGATAATTTTGTCATGTTTACTATTAAAATGTGTTGTTAATGTCTCTAAGCTTTTCTAGAGATGAAGAAAGTGCTGCCAGTGGCCAGAAATCACATCAAGGACACCAAGGCCAAAAATGTAATTGAAATGTTATGACTAGGAATTAGCAATTTGTGGAAGGACTGGATTTCATAGTGACTTCTGATTATAATGTAGATAAATCCTCTGTCACTTCCTCCACACTCCCATGAGCCAGACAACCCACATTCTGCAGCTGATAACTCTCCAAGCTTAGAACAGAGCCCTGACTTTCCAGACCCTGCTCCTGATGTGTCCGTATACATTTCCATTCCCAAGATGATCCTGTGATTCACTGGCTGTTGCTGCTGCTGCTGCCAACCCTTGCTTTCTGCCTTCTAGGAAAGCATGTGCCTGCATCTCACTCATTCCATCTAGAAACCATCCTTGGAGACTGTGGACCACAGGTTCTGTTGACACTTCTGAAGCCCATGGCCCTTAGGGACCTAGCAAGAACTAAGACTCCTGCCAGTGCTCTTTCTCAAAAGGCTGCCCTTCCTTTGCCTTCGGGCATTTCAGACCTGCAGCAACTTACGCCACTTCACTGGCAGCAGAAATATTGCATAATGAGACATTTTCCTACAGCAGTGGAGCATCTCCCACTCTTGGTCTTCTGTTCCTTTCAGAAAAGCCCAGCTGATTAGTAGCTGTGTTGTCATTTGAGCATTTCAGCCTACTTCCTGAGTAGGTATTAAAATACGTGTAGGGCCCGCACTATTTGCTGGATGTGTTTCTTCCTTCCCTGCACTTTCTGGCTCAGTCATTGGTATCTCTAACACATTTCTCTGTGTTCTGCCTTTGTGGGGCCCTCAAAATGGCTCAAACTTTGAGAGAGACTCCCTAGTCTTTATGCTTCTTCCCCAAAGGTGTGTCCAGATGTCTGGCTTAAATGTTCTTACTCCTTCAAGTATCAGCATCATGGTCATGATCATTATGATGATCACCTAGGAACTTATTATGAATGCATATTCTTAGGCACCCCAGACCTACTGAATCAGAATCTGTGTTTAACTAGAACCCCAGCTGCTCTTCATGCCCATTACAGTTTGGCAGGCACTGGTTTCCACAGCCTTATGAAAGAAGAATATAGTCAGAGTGCTTGGATGAAATGTTCTCTGTCCCTGTCTGAACTCAAAGATTGCCTGCTGGTCTTTAGAGTTGAACCTGCCACTGGTGCATGATATATCTCTTTGGGCTTAGTAGAGCCCTCTGGTTTTCAGATTTCACCATCCACTCCAATTCTGGCTGGCTACTCCATAACATTCAAGTTAGAACCCTCTTACCTCCATGATGGTGACTCCCCCTGGCAAGCTCACCAGACTCTCATCCCTTTCTGGGCCATGTCCACACTACTTGGAAACCAAGAGTGGCTTAAGAAGGCAAAACCTTAGTGAGATCCTTGCTGTGCTTGTCTGCATTGCAGCGCCAAGTTGCTGTGGAAGAAGAGACAAGGGTGCAGGGATAGCCTAAGAAATCATGCTGAGTGAAATAAGCCAGTCCCAAAGGGACAAATATCATATGTTCTCCCTGATTGGTGACAACTAACTGAGCACCTAAAAGGAAGCCTGTTGAAGTGAAATGGACACCATGAGAAACAATGACTTGATCAGCCCTTGTCCTGACTGTCCAGGAACAACTTACTATTTTATTCCTTTTAGTATTTTTTTTGTTCTACTTAATACCATTGGTTGAACTCTTTAATTAACACACAATTATTATTAGACGTTTAAAATTAACTGAAAAGTGATCCTTGTTAAATATGAGTGGGAATAAGAGAGGGAGGAGATGTACAGTTTGGCAAATGCTCACTCAGACTTAACCCTAATGGTAGAGCTAGAAACATGCCAGGGGATTCCAATTCAATCCCCTCAAGGTGGCATGTACCAATGCCATCTCACTAGTCCAAGTGATCAGTTTAAGTTCATAATTGATCAAAAAGTTAGTATTAAGTGTCAAAGAGATTACATAAATAAGACCAGTGTCTGCAAATAATTGATAGAATTAAAAAGGAGAGAATGAGCCTACATGGGAAGCAGGATGCACAGCAGACTCATAAAATGGCAAATGCCCTAAATAGCACTTTGGCCTCAGATTCAGCCCTTAAGGCATTTGGATCTGGCTGAAAAGCCCATGAGAGTATTTCAGGCATGGAAAGCCAAGACACTGTGGCAAAAAAATGACCTAAATGAAAGATCTCTGTGAGTGAGATCCCAGCGGAAAGAACGGGCCATCAAAGAAGGAGGTACCTTTCTCTGAAGGAAGGAGAGAACTTTCATTTTGACTATGACCTTGTCTAAATAAGATTGGAGTTGGTGAACTCAAGAGGCTTCCATAGCTTTGGCAGCTCATGACAAGAGCTTTGGGTGATTACTGACATCATAAATAAGAGTGTCAATTGTTAAATCAATAACGGGAGTCACTGTGCACCTACTCCCCATGTAGGATCTCTGTCCTTAATGTGTTCTACTATACAAATTAACGGTAAAACTACTGCTCAAACAGTACTCTATACTTTGTGTGTCTGTGTGGGTGAAGTCTGTTGAAATCTTTACTTAGTATATACTATGTTGATCTTCTGTATATAAAGATAATTGGAAATGAATCTTGATGAAGAATGGGATGGGAGAGGGAGTGGGAGATGGGATGGTTGGGGGTAGGAGGGAGGTTAGGGGGGAAAAGCCCACTATAATTCAAATGCTGTACTTTGGAAATTTATATTTATTAAATAAAAGTTAAAAAAAAAGAAATCTCTTTCAAAGAACTCTGCATGGAGAGTGGAACAGTAGTCCCCCTTTTTGGTTCTCCATGTTAACCACTTACCAGAGGCAACCAAAGACCAGAGTAAGACAAGTGGAAAGCCACATCTGGTTTCTTTTTGCTAATTCTTTTTTTCTTTTTTCCAGCTTCTTTCCCACCATTCTTCCATCTTTCCACTGTCTCAGAACTGCCAAACACGTGGCCTTTCCCAACTTTCCCTAAATCAAATTCCTCTTATTCCCTGACTCCACATAACTGTAAATGATGGATAAAAGTATCCCAGGACACCACAGGAGAACTGTCAGCTCAGCACACCAGGCTGTTGCTACACAAAAAGGAAGATAAAATTTAGATAAATTCTTGAGACAGTTGCTTGATTTACATGGCTTATTGTCTCATTGTATCATCCTGAGTTTGGATGACAGGTGCTAACTACTACCTTGGTGTTTATCATTGGCATTCTTCCAGTTACAAATTTTAATTTCCCCTCCCCTACCTGCACCCTCAGACAGCAGATGCCTTTGAAAAACTAAAGGTACTTAAAAGTAAAAAAAATTATAAAATCATATAAAAATTTTCAAATAATTACCTTGTTGTACAATGGTTGTTTCACATCCGTCAGCTCCAAAAGCAAGCGCAGAAAAATACTGGTTGCCACATCTGTATCTTGAAGGCATGCTTATTGTAAAAAAAAAAGGTGCTAACTACAGGAAAAAAAGATAAACACACACATATATAATGTGACAGCCTAATAAGATGGGCAAAATGCATTAACAGATGTTTTATTGAAGAAGATATATGAGGGTACTTCAAAAAGTTAATAGAAAAATGTAATTAAAGGGTAAATTTATTTTGGTGCAAAAAATTAGATCCGTACATAGGTTTTTTCAGAACATGCATTTCCTGTGAAATGTGATGGTACTATTATACAGATGACAAATAAGGAAGAGCTGTTTAACATTATTAGTCATTAGAGAAATGCAAACTAAACCACAATGAGATACTACTACATACCAGCAAAATGGCTAGAATTTGAGCAGTTGATCATACCAAGTATTTGCAAGGATATGGGGCAACTAGAACTGTTACCCTGCTGTTAGGAATGCAAATGGTACAACCACTGTGGAAAATACTTTGACAACTTGAACTTATAGCTGTTATATGACCCAGCTGTTTCACTATGCCCCCCCAAAAGCAAAAATGTATGTCCACAGAGAGTTGTACACCAATGTTCATAATAGTGTTATCCATAATATCCCAGACTGGAATCAACCCAAATGTCCTTGAGTGGGTAAGTGGCTAAACCATGATGTATATGTAACATAGAATACTGCTCTGTAATAAAAAGGAATGAATTATTAATACAGGCAACAATATTGATGAATCTCAAAATAATTACACTGAAGGAAAGAAGCCAGACCACAAAAAAGGGTATAAACTGATTCCGTTTGAATAAAATTCTTGAAAATGGAGACCAATTTATACTGACAGCAAGATCAGTGATTGCCTGGGGTCCAGGATAGAGAAGGGACACAGGGAAACTTAGGGGTGATGGAAATGTTTCCTATCTTGATTGTGATGATGGCTTGAGGATTTATACATATGACGAAATTGAACAAATTCCGCTTTTAAATGTGTGCATTTTATTGTACTTTATTTTTTAATAAAATTTTTTAAAATATTGTTTCCTTTTCATTTACTTTTAGGATCAGTTCACTATTCTCATAATACTAACAAGATTTCTGCTAAAAAACCAACAACCTCATTCTCTCAGAAGGAAGCACAACAAAAGGTTGAAAGTTTTTTGTTCCAGATTTTGTGTATTGATCATTAATTTATCTGGTTAACTTTTATTTCTAAGGGCTATCCCCTTCCCCGGCTTTGGACTCACTGAATAGTGATCTTGGGATCCTACACAGTCTTAACCCTCTCCCTGGCAAGGAAGGTGCTAAGTCAGCTTCATGCTGAATATACTATGCAGCTCAGCAGAAACAAACTTAAACATTTGACACCGATGATGACAATAACAGCTGACATTGATTGAGATCCTACTGTGAGCCAAGGATCACAGTACAAGGAAGGGAGAACAGGAAACATGGGTGACATAGGGTGCAAAGGTCAGACACACACTTGAATGAGCAGAGTTTTGATTTGTACAAAATGCTGTGGGAACACAGGTTTACAGACTAGCCCTGCCAGAGAGGTCTTAAAAGGCTTTATTAAAGGAGGATTTAACTGAGTCTTAAAATGTGAGTGAGAATTTCTGGATGAATAGACATATGAGGATATAGTGAGGCAATTTCACACAAACTAAAAGCATGGAGGTGTAAGCCAGCATAGCCAGGGGAGTACAGAAAAAGAGACTGGGTGGTAGGCTGAAGCTAGAGCCTTGTATATCTTGCTGAAGTATGAATTTATCCTCTCCATTGTAAAGAGCCTTTGAAGGTTTTTCAGTAGAGATATGAAATAAGAATGATTGGATTCTTAAAAGATAACTCCAGTTGCAGTATATGAGATATGTAGTAAAGAGAAGAGCTCAGAGACAAGATAGTTGCAAGTCTACTGGTATAGTCCAGATAAAAATGATAAGGGCCCACACTAAGGCATTGCAGTGTGGGTGAACAAGAGACCACAGATTCATAATATTTCAGAATTAGGCTGTGTTGGGACTTGGTGACTCAATGTATGTATGAATTCAGAGAGGGTGGTGATGATGATGGTTCACGTTTTATGATAGGTTTTAATAAATGGGATGTCTTTTCTTTGTGGCACCATAGTGCTCAGGCTGACCTCTATCTCAGAATTTGTCACACAGTGTCATATTTGTCTGCTCTACTTGGTGATAAGCTTCTTGGGGACAGAAATGTCTTATTTCAGTTCCAAGCATTATGTTCAATAAGCATTAGATGTAATTGCATTGGCCTTATTTGAAATAAATGGAGCAAGTCTGACCTTTTTAGAATGGAGTACTGGGTGGGTTGCCATGCCTTTAGCCAAAATATGTAATACAGGAAGAGGAGTGAGTTTTGAAAGATGGGAGTACATGGGTACACAATAAGCTTCATTTTGAACTAGTTAAGTTTTAGTACCTGTGAGAGAGATCCAGTATGAGGTAAATTTAGCATTGAGACCAGTGCTTAGGAAAGAGGTAGGAAATCGGAAGAGGGTATTGAACTAACTGGACTGTTCTAAAGTAGGCAGAATTCTCTTTTAGGAGCTTAATTACTAATGAATGTTTTTCCCTTGGATGTTAAACCACACAGAAAGATAAAGAAATTACAAACACATCAGATCCTGTAAATGTCAAAGGTAAGAAAATGAAGCATATTCATAATTGCTCTGCTATTTTTCAGTTAAATAATTGGTTTTGTCATAGTTTTTCAAGTAATGTTTTTGTACTCATTATAAAACTGCTTATTTTGCTACAGGAAGACAAAAATTATTCATTTTTGTAAATATTAGTATCCTACATTTTTTGAGTAATTGTTGGTTGCCTAGGGCCTTTGGAATTTGCAAATTTGTGGAGAAGTTAGAGACACTACTGTGGCTGCCTATATGGATAGGCTAAGTAAGTTCCAGACAGATAGTGATTTGGGAGTCTTGGTGCAAAGAATTCTTCCCAAGAAGACCCCTACCTTCCAATGCTATCCTTTCTCCCAAAACATAAAATTACATCCCATTTCCCATCTCCCCAGGAAAGTTGGACTAGTGGATAGCTAAGTCTGCTGCTTTCTGCAAAATATTTCTATGCATATTCTATAGACCTATATACACCAAGAATAGTGGGACATTTTCATCTGGGTGGCCAATAAAGTACCTCAAATCTAATATGCACAAACCTAAATTCATCATCTTTCAGTCACTCTAAAAAATCTGTTCCTTGTTCATCCCAATTTTATTCTGAAACAAAACCTGACTCAATCTTTGTCACATTTTGTCCAATCTATTTCTTATTTTTATTAAAGATTTATGTATTTATTTGAAATAGTAACAGAGAGAGACCGAGAGCCAGAGAGAAAGAAAAAAAATATCTTCCATCTGCTGATTGACTCCCCAGATGGCTGCAATGGCCAGGGCTGGGCCAGGCTAAAGCCAGGAGCCAGGAACTTCTTTTAGATGTCCCACATGGGAGCAGGGACCCAAGCACTTAGGCCATCTTCTGCTACTTTCTCAGGCACATTAACAGGGAATGGATTGGAAGTGGAGCAGCTGGGACTCGAACCAGCACCCATATTGGATGCCGGCATAGCAGGCAGCAGCTTTACTAGCTATACCACAACGTTGGCCAACCCCCTAATGTATTTATTAAACTCTCTCGTAACTTTCCTCTCCTTCCCATTTGTGCCACCCTACCCATAACTATTGTGATAGTTTGCCTCCAATTTTTTCTTCTTCCTTTTAACCTATTCTATGTTTTACTGCAGATATAATTTTCCCAAAGTTTCAGCTTTGGATATATAATCCCTCTACTTGAACATTCCCAGTGGCTCCTACTTAATAAAGTGTTAAATTAGTTCCTTCTGGCAGGAACAGAAGATGTGAGGGGAGAATGAGTAGGCAAAGGAAATTAGGGCCACAGGTTAGAGAGTTCAGGCTTATTCCTGTGGGTAGTGGTGAGCCACTGGAAGATTGTAGGCAGGGGAATCCAAAAAGTCAAATCATCTTACCATTGGAGCTACTGCTTTAACTTGCATAAGTAAATACATCCTTGACTACAATAATTCCAGACATTCTAACAGCCGAGCAAAGAGAACTGTGTCATTTTCTCTTATTTAATGGTGTCTCTTCTTTCCCCCAGGAGTGAAAAGAACCCAAATTCATGCTTCTACCAAGGCAACAAATTTCCCCAGACAATCTGTACAACATATTCTGAAAGAAGAGGCAAGTAACACTTGTTTTGTACTAGATGCAGGCAGAACAAATGCACAGAAATTATTATCAAGATTGGTACAAAACAGTTTCATCCATTATTCCCTGACATTAGCCACTATCCATATTAAAATTTTATTTTAACAAAGTGAAATGCAAACCCCATCATAGTCCTAGGCTAATTCAACTCTAGTTATGTTAGTGTTGCCATACGGTCAGTGTGGAGAATACCAGGAACAGTTTGTAAGTCAGCAAAAGCAAAGTGATGAGCTTGAAATTTAAAATTTGTTAGACAAATCCAATCTGCATCACAGCCTTGACTCCATTAGCACTGTATCAACTGATTCGAATTCTCTAAAAAGTTAATATGGCTTGAGAGAGATTTCATCAAGCAGAAAATTTTCTGCATTCTTTCCAAATGAACTCAACTAAAATAGAAAATGGCATCATTTGCCATATTGTATGCTAAAGACATAGTAAATGACCGACTCACTAATATGTAACCACTAAAATGTCACATGTTAGTCATAGTATGCTTCTCTGTGTAAACCAACATCTACAAACCACCTGTTGGTATGCAGTGCACTATGCTACTGTTTCAACACCCATGATCAACAAGCTCAGTATCCAAAGACAGAAATTTAACTACTTTGAGATGTTTTAGTTGCTGCACATCAGGAATTACTTTTTTCAACAGCCTTAGTATATAGCAAGAAAAAACACTTTTCCATGGATGGCAAACTTAATACAACATAGCCTAGTCAACGAAGAGTCAATTAACAAATTAAGATCACCAGTTTTTAAAAGTCTTTGAAATATGTTGGATAATACGAGTGTATCAGATGGTCACAAATATCTCTTATTTTGAGAAATAGCATGAACACTAATAGGATAGAATGCAATCCTGTTTTTTGTCTTGTTTCATCTATCCCATCAATGTCAAGAAATACACTTCTGGTGGCTTGTGTTCAATTTTCAGGCCTGAAAAAAATAAAGTCTGCTCTGTTGGATTTATTTGTCTCTATTATTACCCAGACAGGTAAAGGTCTTGGCCAAGTGAAAGAGTCACATTCTGTGTGTGCATAGAACCTGTTCTCTGCCTTCCAGCTCTCTAAGAGTGCTTCTTCTATAGTTAGCTTCATTTAAAAATTATATACATTCTTTTAGCTGTCCCATTGATTGCCTTTCTTGATGATCAGTGCATTCCTCAGTTACTGTTAGAATACTAACGGTCTCTCCAACCCTTTGAATTCCACCAATAAAACGTGGGGATTAATGTAGGGGTCCCTTTTCTCCCAGCCAGTTCTTTTGAGGCTGAAATTAGCCCTTTTGAGGACATCATTGGGACTGCCCAAGCTAGGCAGCCTCATTTTCCTACTTCACACATCTGTGGGAAAAAAAAATACAGATATTATACATGAACTTAAAAATAAGTCCTTAAATCATTTCCTTACATTTCTATTTTCTTAAAAGATTATTTATTTGAGAGGCAAAGTTAACAGAGAGAGAGAGAGAGAGAGAGAGAGAAAGAGAGAATCTTCCATCTGTTGGTTCACTCCCCAAATTGCTGTAATAGCCAGGGCTATGCCAGGCCAAAGCCAGGAGCCTTGAATTCCATCTAGGTCTTCCATGTGGGTAGCAGGGGCCCAAGCAATTGATTCATTTTCTGCTGCTTTCCCAGGTGCATTAGCAGGGAGGTGGATAGAAAATGGAACAGACAGGACTTGGAACTGGCACTCACATTGGATGCTGGCATCACAGGAATTGGCTTAACTCACTGCACCATCACACTGGCCCCACGTTTCTGTATTTTAAATGTGGAGAATAGCCATTGTTCAACTTGTTTTAAAAACTCCTTGAGAACTTGTTTCATTATTTTTATTTTTCTTTTGGCATATACAGGTGTCATATGCTGATTTGAGGGAAAGAAAGCCCAAGAAATCAAAATTCAGCCATAAGTCAGGTAAACATTAAAAATAATTATTTGTAAGTACATCTTGCAGTTCACTCCTGCATTATCTTAATGGACATTTACTGAAGTTTCTGCTACACACCAGGCCTTGTGCTTACTACTGAATACATATAGTAGAAAAGCCATGGTCCATACCCTGAGATTTTACAGTCTGGTTAGAAACAGTCATGTCAATAATCACAACCAAATATGGTAAGTGCAGACTGGGGGTGTGTATGAAGTCTTGTGGAAGCATAGGGAAGTTTTTGCAGAAGAAGCCACAGTTGATCTTAGATTTTCTAGGCGGACAAATAGAAGTTGTCAGAGCCTACTAGGAAAGAGTAATACATTTACCAATATACAGACATTACAGGATTATGTTTATGGAGATACAAATTATTTCAGAATTGCTATAGCTAAAAATTGAATCCAGAGAATTGCAAAAGATTTGGATCATTAAAATTCAGGTAGGTCCTGCCAAGCATTTACCTTTTATCCTGTTACCTAAGGGTAAGTATTGAAGAATATCAGCAGAGGCATAATATGACCTGAATTTGCCTTTTTGAAAGAGAGAAAATAGAAGTAATGAAATTAAAGTAAAAGTGACATCAAAATAATAACAGCATTTGTTAAACACTTACTATGTACCAGATACTATGCTAAACTCTTTGTATTCTTTAATTTGGCCCTTCCAACAATTTACTGAGGTCAGCAATATTTATATCTACCATTCTCTATATATGTAAATTAAGTCTCAGAGTAGTAAATTATCTTGCCCATGGTCACATTGTATATGGCAAAGCCAGAGTTTTAACCTAGAGCTGTCTTATGCAACCACACAGTCCTGAACAAAAGCGGTATCAGTAAGGATGGAGAAATGGATCCAAATTTGACTCAAAATAGGAGGGCAAATTGATGGGATTTGGTTACCAAGTGAACATGGGGGAAATGAAGGAGTTGAAGACAACTCCCAGATTTCTAGGCTGGGCACCTAAAGTGGCTAATGAAGCATCCTACCATTTAGCAGCCATGCAATACTAAAAGGGGAACAAGTCAGGAAGAAAAAGAGTTCAGCTTTGAATATATTGGGTTTGAGATGCCTGCAGGCATCTAAATAGGACATCTAAGTGGAACAGGCAGGCAGTTATAGATACTGATCTGAGACTCATGGGAGAAGTAACAGAAAAAACACTTTATATCAAAACCTATGGGCGGGGCCGGTGAGGTGGGTTAGTGGGTTAAGCCACTGCCTACAATGCCGATATCCCATATGGGCACCAGTTTGAGTCCAGGCTGCTCTACTTCTGATCTACCTCCATGCAAAATTACCTGGGAAATCAGCAGAGGATGACCCAACTGCTTGGGCCCCTGCACCCACATGGGAAACCTGGATGAAATTCCTGATTCCTGCTTTGACCTGGTCCAGTCCTGGGGAGTGAACCAGCAGATGGAAGATTTCTGTCTCTCCCTCTCTCTCTGCAACTCTGCCTTTCAAATTAATAAAAATAAGTTCTTATTTAAAGAAATGCCATGGGAACAGCTTTTGTTATTTTCCACAGGTTTTGATATGAAGTGTTCTTTTTCAGGTAGATTACATTTTCTCCTGTGAATTCCCTCTTAGATCTTAAGTTACCTCTAAGTATGTTTCTTGATTACCAAGAAATTAATTATTTTAGTCTTATTTTGTATTAGGTTCAAAGAGCGTAGTTTGCAAGCATCTAGCACACTGAAGTTGTTAATTTACTTTGTAACCAAATATATGGTTGATATTTGAAAGTGTTCCATGGACATACCAAAAAAATGTATATTCTCTGAAAGATATAAGGCTCTAAATGAATATTGAACTCTATTTGTTGATTATATTATTCAGTTATTCTGTTTACTGGTTTTTGCATATTAGACTGTCTTTTTTTCCTATTATCTACGAGGTAGCCATCAAAGAGGTATATTGAAGGTCTCCACCGTGATTGTGATTATATCAAATTCCCATTGCATCAAGATATTTGTTCATCCATTTTGCTGGAAAAAGTAGAGTTCTTTATTATTTTAAGATTTATTTATTTTGGGACTGGCGCCATGGCTCACTTGGTTAATCCTCTACCTGTGGCACTGGCAACCCATATGGGTGCCAGGTTCTAGTCCCGGTTGCTCCCCTTCCAGTCCAGCTCTTTGCTGTGGCCCAGGAAGGCAGTGGAGGATGGCCCAAGTGCTTGGGCCCCTGCACCCGCATGGGAGACCAGGAGGAAGCACCTGGCACCTGGCTCCTGGCTTCAGATTGGTGCAGTGCGCCAGCCGTGGCAGCCATTTTGGGGGTGAACTAACGGAAGAAAGACCTTTCTCTCTGTCTCTCAATGTCTAACTCTGCCTGTAAAATAAAAAAAAAAAGATTTATTTGTTTGAAAGGCACAGAGAGAGAGAGAGAGAGAGAGAGAGAAACGAGCTAGTAAAAGAGATTGATCTTCCATTCTATCCACTGGTTCATTCTCCAAATGCCCACAACAACCAAGGCTGGGCCAGGCCAAAGCCAAGAGCTAGGAACTCCATCCTGGTGTCTCACATAGGTAATAATACCCAAGTACTTGGGCCATTATCAGCTGTCTTCTCAGACACGTTAGCAGGAAGGTGGATCAGAAGTGGAGGATCTGGGACTTGAACCAGGCACTCCAATATGGGATGCAGGCATCCCTAGCAATGGCTTAACCCACTGCACCACAATCTCCACCCCAGAGTTCATTATTTTTTAACAGTTGTTAATGCAACTGAGTAAAAAATTACTCCAAAACTTAACAGTTTATAAAAACAAGCATTTATTCTCACACAGCTTCTGTGGTCAAGAATATGGGAGCAGCTTAGCTAGGTGGTTCTGACTCAGGGTCCCATGAGGTTATAGTCAACATAACATGCAGGGCTATTGTAGTTACTTAAAGACTTGCACTGGAGGATTCACTTCCAAAGTGGCTCACTCACTGAGCTGTTGGCTGTAATTGGTAACAGTACTTAATGTTTTTCAGAACATTCTGTTTGTCTAAGACTTTTATTTAGGCATGAAATGCATAATTGACATACACCATCCCAGGATTCCTACGAACATGTTCTTTTTGAAGACTTGCTTTACTGTCTATCCAGAATATTCACTAAAATCTGCTTATGAAGCTAAATGACGTGCAGACATGTCAGACAGTATTTGGGAAGAGATTAATGACATGCAGATTAATGAACTAGCATTGAGCAAACACACATACAAGGGTCCTCAAAAAGTTCATGGAAGGACCAACCAGCATTGTAGTGCAGCAGGTTAAGCTGCCACGTGCAATGTCCGCATCCCATATTGGAGTGCCAGTTCAAGTCCTGGCTGCTCCACTTCTGATCCAGCTTTCTGCTAATGAGCATTGGGAAAGCAGTGGAAGATGGCCCAAATACTTGGGTTCCTGACATCCATATGGGAGACCAAAATGGATTCCCTGGTTCCTTGCTTTGGCCTGGTCTAGACCTGGCTGTTGCAACCATCTGGAGAATGAACCAGCAGACGGAAGGTCGGTTGGTGGGTTGGTCTCTCTCTCTCTCTTTCTGTGTGTGTGTGTGTGTGTGTGTCTGTCTGTCTGTCTGTCTGTCTTTCTGATGCTCTGCCTTTCAAATAAAATAAACAGATCTGTTTAAAAAGCTCATGAAAATGCACATTATCTTTTGATTTAATTTTTCCATGAACATTGTGAAATATCTTCATATTAAAGAATTCATTCAGCAAATAAATGGTATCAAGTGCTTACTATGTTCCAAACACTGTAAACTATTCCTTAAAATACAGCTTAGTAAGTCCTGAAATAATAAAAGGGAATATAGGGTGATTCAGGAGCATGGCTAGAGGATGCCTAGCCAGACTTTGAGGAAGGCTCTCTGGAGGTGGTGACATGAACTGAAAGAATTGCAAAGTAAGACAAGTTTAAGAGAGACTTTAGAGTTCCTGGCTAAGGAAATAGTTAAGGGCAAAGGCCCTGAGGTGTGAAAAACATGATGTTTAGGGAGTTATGTGTTGTTCAGTATTTCTGGAACACAGAAAATAGAATGGTGCCCAGAGATTAGGCTGGCAAAGTAGGCAGTGGCCCCAGATTTTAAGGTCTATTTTATCCTTCCCTAGGAGTTCCTAGATGGTGGAAATAGAGCAGTGACAGCAGGGAATAAAGACCTAGTAACATGTTAATTACCTTACCAGTAGCTGTGAAAGTTACCAACAAATAATTTTTTCTGTCTGGAAATTTATCCACAGTTCATAAAACTGTGTATGTTCCTGATTCATCAGAAAAGTAAGTATTTTGGAAAAAAAACAGTAAGTTAATGTTATTTTAATAATTGCACAGGAATGCTGCTTGAGGGCAGATTCTCTTCATGGAATCCCTCATTCTTATGGTTGTACTTGTACGGAGTGAAACTCTGATGAATTGCAACCTCTCAGAAGTAAGCTAAAATTGTAAAGTACTCAAAGCAGTGATGCATGCTCTACCACCTCTTTCTCTGTTCCTTTGTTCTCACTTCAGTTCTATGCTGCCCCAATACCCAGAGCCATTCCTCCACTTTCAGGTAGAACCCTACTGTCACTTCTTCTCTCCAGGTAGCTTTCCAGGATTTGAAGCTATCCTTTCTCCTCTCCCCATTCAAATATGCACCTCTGCTTGTGCCTTTTGAGGTTATTGGTTTCCTAATGATGATAAATATGTTACTATATAGTATTAACGACTTCATCTGTTACCCCATCCTAAGGATATTTCTCTGTAATCCAAAGTAACCAATCTCTAATGACGGAAAATAGGCAACAACGGAGAAGGGTTTTTTTCTCAGCCCTCAAACCTTTGTGGCCACCTCTTCTGGTAATACCCTTATTCTATCCAACCTAGAGTAATATTTCATCCACATGAAATAACTCCTGTGGGACACACATGTCCAACATTGTCATCTTTTAAACACTCAGTAAACCAAATGAGGTACAGGATGGGCTTTATAAATATCCATTTATGATGAAAATAGTTGGGTAAAATAAAGTACCATGTGGTGGTAAATGGTGGTGATATTCAGACCAAGCACTCTGGAAAAGTGTTTTCCCGGGGCCGGCGCTGTGGTGTAACGGGTAAAGCTGCCGCCTGAAGTGCCAGCATCCCATATGGGCACCGGTTCTAGTCCTAGCTGCTGCACTTCCGATCCAGCTTTCTGCTATGGCCTGGGAAAGCAGTAGAAGATCACCCAAGTCCTTGGGCCCCTGCACCCGCATGGGAGACCCGGAAGAGGCTCCTGGCTCCTGGCTCCGGATTGGCCCATCTCCAGCTGTTGTGGCCATTTGGGTAGTGAACCAGTGGATGGAAGATATCTGCCTCTCTTCCTCTGCCTCTCTTCCTCTCCATGTATAATTCTGACTTTCAAATAAATAAATAAATCTTAAAAAAAGCATTTTCCCTAAGGATTAGTAGAAATCAGTTTATCAGACCTACTGAGTGCTCATGGGATACAAGGAGGCCTAAAGAAGGAAACTAACTGGCCAAATCTTACTCCCTCTAAAGTAATAAAGCTGGTAGAGTAACAATTTGTGTAGCTTTATAACGTGTTAATTTCAGCCTCTTCTACCACTTCTCCCTCCACCCCACACTAGAGTTACAGAATCACTTTAGCCTTTTTAATAGCAAATGGTCTTGATAACTTTTATGTAAAAAATCTTAGCTCAATTATGATGAACTCCATGGGTGACTTGGAACTTCTCCATCATCCATGTATACCCAGCACAGCTCTAGGCCAGAACATGAAAAATAAAATACAGTTAACAACCTAGCTAACAACAACATCCGGTCTTGTTCTGCCCATTGCATCCATGTCACTTCCCTTACCTTACACGGGTTCGCAGCGTTTGACTTTATCCTCGTTCTAATGCTGCTCCTTGCTCCCCAAAGTTCAGGTGTGGATATTTCACAGCTGTTCCACCATTTACCTCCTCTCTCTTCTCACTTCTCAGTTCCTTAGTACTCAGGGTGTGTGTGTGTGTGTGTGTGTGTGAGTGATATCACAAGAGACTTACATGGTAAGCTTAATAAAATAGAATGAATAGGGCCGGCGCCATGGCTCAATAGGCTAATCCTCCGCCTAGTGGCGCCGGCACACCGGGTTCTAGTCCCGGTCGGGGCGCTGGATTCTGTCCCGGTTGCCCCTCTTCCAGGCCAGCTCTCTGCTGTGGCCCGGGAGTGCAGTGGAGGATGGCCCAAGTGCTTGGGTCCTGCACCCCATGGGAGACCAGGAGAAGAAGCACCTGGCTCCTGCCTTCGGATGGGCACGGTGCTCCGGCCGCAGCGCGCCAGCCGTGGCAGCCATTGGAGGGTGAACCAACGGCAAAGGAAGACCTTTCTCTCTGTCTCTCACTGTCCACTCTGCTTGTACGACAAAGGAAGTCTCAAACCGCCCCCAAGTAAAATAGAATGAATAACCAAATAAATCAGGACAGGAGGAAGAAAATGTGTTAAGATAGTGGTAGGGATAAATAGTTGTAACAATTAAAGTTTGAATTTAAAAAATGAGTCTGTTCCTATGATTGGGATGGGTCATAGGAGGAGAGGCAGAGTAAAGAAAGCAGTGAGCCTATTGCCCTGAAAACTGCGTACAGTAGTTTCTGTCTGTTTCACTGCTGACAGTTGTATGGCTGTAAGGAAGGATGCGATATTCTCAAATAACTCTGCTGATTGCCTCTGACAGCAGTATATAGGACAAAATAACTCATAGCCAGTTGAGAAAAATGCATTAACAATTTGTGACCTGCACAAAAGCCTCAAACTGGGAGAAGAGAGATGTATGCTTTGATCAAAACCATGTTAAATGGGAATCTATCTTTCAAATTTTCTCCTTTTACTGATGATTTTTAAAATTTATTTTTTCATACATACAATTCTAAGAATATAATATTCCTTCTTCTACTTCCACCTACCTTCACTCTCCTTGTCTTACTCTCTCCACTTCTCTCTCTCTCTCTCTCTTTCTCTCTCTCTCTCTTTCTTTATCCCTTTTCTAGTATTTGGGATAAACTATTTTTTATTATTTTTTTTTGACAGGCAGAGTGGACAGTGAGAGAGAGAGAGACAGAGAGAAAGGTCTTCCTTTGCTGTTGGTTCACCCTCCAATGGCCTCCGCGGCCAGCGCGCTGCGGACGGCGCACCGCGCTGATCCGATGGCAGGAGCCAGGTACTTCTCTTGGTCTCCCATGGGGTGCAGGGCCCAAGCACTTGGGCCATCCTCCACTGCCTTCCCTGGCCACAGCAGAGAGCTGGCCTGGAAGAGGGGCAACCGGGACAGAATCCGGCGCCCCAACCGGGACTAGAACCCGGTGTGCCGGCGCCGCAAGGCAGAGGATTAGCCTAGTAAGCCACAGCGCCGGCCAGGATAAACTATTTTTAATTTACCCTGTACTCAAGAGCGTCATCCTCCACTAAATAAAGAGTTCAACAAGTGAAAAGACTACAGTTCAGCAGAAATATAGGCAAAGGTTATAAACAATCAAATGTAAAGACCATTTTACTCATATATATGACACTTTAAAAGATCATTAAAATTATTGTAATCCTTAACCATTAGTTTCACAAAACTAATTAGTTTGACAAAGCAAAGTTTGACAAAACCATATTTGCAGCAATACTGATACAGTTATTTCTTTGTTTTTTAAATATTTTTTTCTTTTTAAATTTTAGCTCCCACATATAAGAGAGAATATGCAGTCTTTGTCTTTCTGTGTCTGGCTTATTTCACTCATCCTGCTGTCTTCAGTTACATCTACTTTGATGGAAATGCTAGAATTTCATTCATTTCTATAGCTGAAAAATATTCCATTGAGTATGTGTATGTGTGTGTCACATTTTTTTTATCCATTCATCTGATGGTGGAAATCTTGGTTGATTCCATATTTTGACTATTGTAACAGTGCTACTGTAATATAACATGGTGGTGTAGGTATTGCTTTGATACAATGTTACATGCCTTTGGGGTATAGACCTAGATCTGGAGTTGCTGGATCATATGGCAAGTCTATTTCTTATTTTTTAAGAAATCATACTGCTTTCCACAGTGACTGTACTAATTTACATTCCCACCAAAAGTATATAAAATTTCCCTTATTCCACATCACTGCCAGCATTAATTAATCTCTGTCTTTTGGATAATAGCCGTTCTTACAGGGATGAGGTGATATCTAATTGTGCTTTTGATTTGCATTTCTCTGATGGCTAGTGATGTTGAGCATTTTTTCATATATTTCTTGGCAATTTGTATTTCTTCTTTTGGGAACTGTCTGTTGAGGTCTTTTGCCCATTTCTTAACTGGATTGGTTATTTTGTTGTTGAGTTTTTGACTTGCTGATATATTCTGGATGGTAATCTTTTGTCGGAGAGGTAGTTGGCAAATATTTTTCCCGTCCTATTGGATGACTCTCACTCTGTTGATTGTTTCCTTTGCTGTACAGAAGCTTCTGAATTTGATGTAATCCCATTTGTCTAGTTTTGCTTTTGTTTCCTGTGCTTTGAGGGTTTATCCAAGAAGCCATTATCCATACCAATGTCTTGAAATGTCACCCCTACATTTTCTTCTAACAACCTTACCATCTCAGGTCATAAATTTAGATCCTTGATCCATCTTGAATTGTTTTGTTAAATGGTGAGAGGTAGAGATCTTATTTAATTCTTCTCCATATATATATATATATATATATATATATGAAATCTGCATCCAGTTTTGCTGGCACGATTTATTGAAGAGTTTATCCTTTCTCCAGTGTATGGTGTGGGCACTTTTGTCAAAAATCAGTTGGCTGTGTGTATATGGATTAGTGTCCAGGCTCTCTATTCTGTTCCATTGATCTATGTGTCAGTTTTTATGCCAGTACCATTCTGTTTTAATTACTGTAGCTTTATAGTATGCTTTGAAGCCAGGTATTTGGATGCTTCCAGCTCTTTCTTTTGCTCAGGATCACTTTGACTATTCTGGATCTTTTGTGATTCCCTATGAATTTTAGGATTGTTTTTTCTAATTCTTTAAAGAATGGAATTGGTATTTTGATAGGGATTGAATTAACTATAGATTGCTTCAGATAGTTTAGATATTTTAACATTATTATTTCTTCCAATCCACAAGCAAGGAATATCTTTCCATATTTTGTCCTTGCTGATTTCTTTAATCAATGTTTTATAATTTTCTTGTTTTTTACTTTAGAAATGGTTTTATCTTTTTTCCCCAGAAAACTTTTATTTAAGGAAAACAAACTTCATACATTTCATAATTACAACTTTAG